TTAGGCGCGTTTCCATTACCCTTCAAATTGCACAAATTGAAATTGCGAATTGAAAATGCGCCTAATGGAAACGCGTCAATTTCGCAAAAACGTCCATATATCGCAAAAAAGTTTTTACGCTCGCATGAGGTGGTTTTTCTTAAACGAAACGCCGTCATTTCACAATACTTTTTTATCGACATTTATAAAATATTGCCAAAGTTTTGTGCAAATCTGTAATGGAAACGCACCTATTGGCTTCAGGATTTGATGTTATACCTACACTTAGAAAATATTAAATATTCAATTAGAGGTTCCCATAAATTATCTTACGTCTGGCAACCTTTATCATATTTCTCTGCTATATATATACTTCCTGGGGAGTAATGTGATTTACTTTTATTGCAATTCTTATTCTTTTTTTAATTTTACCCTTCTCTTATGTAGGGTTTATGTTGTTCATTACAGTGAAGTGACACTGTATTATACATGATTGTGGTATCTAGTTACTTATTGTGGTATACAATTGTTTATTTAATGATTAATTTATTTCTTCATCATTATTTAACTATTGCATCATTTTATCTTTTTTTTTATGTATGTATTTTTTTTTATCATTATTATTATTATTATTATTATCATCATCATTATTTTTAATAGGCAGTTTGTTGGGAAGGGTACGGAGTAAGACTGTTTAAACCCAATTGCATTAACAAATCAGTTGAGAAAACAAGCAGGTCAAGTCACCTTTATTTATATAGCGCTTTTAACAATACAGATTGTGTCAAAGCAACTGTACAGCATTAATATTTGTTGAACATAAATTGTGGATTGTGGAGCAGGTGAGATAAAGTGTGCAAAAGTACTTCAAGAAGGAGCACTGATGGTAATATGTAATAGTGGAGAGCAGAGTGTTACAACCCCAGTGTGGTCAGTCAAGGGGAAAAGAGGAGTAACATTAATTTAGGGGAGAAACCCATATTTGCGAAACATACAACACACCAGGTGATGCGTAAAGCAAGACACAAATTTACTGAAATCCAAGCAACCTGGGTAAACAATTTGGAAAGAAAATGTGTTCCTTGGTCTGTTTGAACAACCTTAGGAAGACCAAATGTAAAGAAAATTTTGATTAAAGACTTAATAACAATGGCAGCTGTAATTTTACGAAGTGGTATAGCTTCGGGAAAACGAGTAGCAATGCACATAATAGTAAACGAAATTGGTTTCCAGATTTCGTTTTCGGCAAAGAACTGAAACAGTCAACAATAACTTGTTCGAATGGTTCACCAATCACTGGAATAGTTACAAGTTGGGCAGGTGAAATCACCTGATTCGGCTTTCCAGCCAACTGGCAAGTGTGACATGTACGACAGTATTCAATTACGGGTTTTTTTTTTAAACCCAGCCAGAAAAAATGTCTGAGTATTCAATTATATGTTTTTTTCACACCCAAATGACCAGACAAGTGGTGGTCATGGGCCAGACACATAACCTGTTGTCGATACACATCAGGCACGATAATCCGCACTCCAGTCCAAATCTGCAACGTCACTAGGGCACCACTTACGCATAAGCAAACCATCTTCTATGAAATAAGCAACCATTTTCTCCCTTGCCTCTTCAGGGCTTACAGTAGAAGAGAAACATTTACTCAATGTCAAATCTTTCTGTTGCTCTGCACACATTTGTTCTCGAGTGACAGCTAATGTTAAAACATCTGGATTAGGTGACATACTCTGTGTACGTGTACCCGCGGACGGCCGCTGAACTTGACTGAGCTTTTACTGGTAAAACAGAGGCAGACGGAGGGGAGGGCATCTGGCCTGCGAACACAGAAGCCATAAAAGAATTAGATAAAGCTGTTTCATCGCCCGCACTATGCAACTGCGCTCGTGTGACCGCACACACAGAAAACACTTCAGGATAAGATTCAGCCAAAATAGAGTATGAGTAACTCCCCTAACAGGCAAACTCCAACTTTGACAAAACCTGTAACTAAATCGCACTGTAAGTGTATAATGCCGAGTTCACACTGCACGATTTTAGCCCGATTTTTCACTCGCCGACAGGTTTTGCGAAATCGCCGACAAATGCCCGAAATCAGAGGCAAATCGGTGCTCGTTCACGCGAGTGACAATCACGCAATGTGAATGATCAAAGACGCGATCTGAGGGAATCGCCGACAGGTCGCAGACGCCCGTGAAATATTTGGCATGCTAAATATCTGGAGCTGTCGGCGATTCACAATCACGCTGTGTGCAATGATTTCTGACTGAAAAACACATCTGCGATGACCTACAGCCAATGAGAGACCAAGATACAGGGCAGCGGGAAGTTTGGGGAGGAGTTACAGTATATGAAACGTAGTTTGCGGACCAGTGTTGCCAAATCCGCGATTGCCGCCGGTTGTTTTTTATGTCAGCAGGTTGAAGCGACCCCAATAATGTGATATTTAGGCCCTGGAATGTGAATTGTACTAGGAGTACCCCGCCAAAAAAATTTGTATTTTACCCCCCGAACGCGATTTTTACTGGGGGACCCCCTCGAAAGCAATTGGGCTATTTTCAGGCTAGTTTTGAGTAGTAATTGGGCGGGTTTTGTAGCGAAAACCTGGCAACCCTGCACCAGACAGAGCTGTCGGCGATTCTTCCTATTGTGTAGTCATGCAATGTGAAACCCCCTGTCGCCAATCCATCGTGCAATGTGAACACAGCAGCAACTGAATGCCACCCCAGATAGTACAACGGCGATCCGACGAGTTTGAAAATCATGCAGTGTGAACTCGACATAAGATGCAGTGGTACACTTACAATACCCATTTCAAACCCTTGTCCCAACACACTGGCAGCACAGTATGACTTCTCTGACAATGGCAACAGGTCAGAAATAATAAAACTACCAAATCTTCCATCGATTTATGAAACTTAAAATCAATCAACTCTTGATTTAACCAACATTTAAAAAAAAAGAAAAACTTTGTGTAATACTTTGGCAAGGTTTTTGCTCAATTCTGTTTTTCCGGCTAATATACAGTAGTCAACATTTGAAGTGGATCAAAAAAGTTCATCAAAATTGTCCTAAGACAAGAATGCATTTTGGTTTTGGTTTTAGGACAGCTTTGATGAAAGGTTTTGATCCACTTTAAATGTTGACTAGTGTATATTGCCATTTTTGCTTGTCCCAACATAAAATTGAAAGGGGTCATATGATGCGAATTCAATTTTTCCTTTCTCTTTGGAGTGTTACAAGCTCTTGGTGCATAAAGAAGATCTGTAAAGTCTCAAATCCAAAGAGATATTCTTTATAAAAGTTAAGAGTCAACCACACCTACCTAAAACGGCTCATTCTAACACGCCCCCACATGTCTACGTCACAATGTGGGAAGATTTGCATAACACCGCCCAAATGTGCACGCAAAGAAAGAAGGCGTGGTTTCAGGAACAGCAGTAGTGTTGATGCAGCATGTCAGGGAGACGCTGTGTGTTTCAGTGCGAAAGCAAAAGCACTTTATTTGGAATGGACTCGTTTCCTTCCTGTTTGGTGACTCCTGTGCTTGCTGTTTCTGTTTGGAGGTCATTGCATGTGTCTGATTGAGCAACTGTCATTGTGCATTTCTGTTTGCAGTGCTTTGCTTAAATTTTGAACCCTTAGCAATAATAAAAGTCTTTGGAGTTTTCCATTTGGGTTGTGGTTGTACATGTTTTCCTTGATTTAATATCCTTATAGATATGTGCTTATGCGACAACTATTTCACACTAAAAAATGAACCAGTTATAAACATTACACAATTGTTTTTTTTTTTAGCTGCACATGGTATAGCAGTCTTAAATGCAATAACTAAAATAATAATTTTCCTAAATAACTTTTCTTGTCAGCTTACCAACAGTTTAATAGGTCAGACAAATAAATTAATTCTTTCCATTTACATGTGTGTGTTTCCACTTTCTTTTCTTCATGTTTTCCTTGGCTGCATTCTTCACTCTATAACATTCTTGTAGAGCTCCTGGGATGCAACCTTATTTTCTTCATGCATGAGTGCATAAACCTAATTGTAGCCTATATGTTCAATTATATTATTGAAGGGTATCATGATTTTGATGTTTAAATGCTGAAACCAGACTCCTGATTTGATGACATTTTTAATTACAGAATTTACTATTTTCTTTTTCCAGAAATTAATATTAATTTAACATTAACTCAAATCTATTATACTATAGTAAAAAAAAAAAATCAATCTGCAAAACAAAACAAAAAAATTATTTAAAAAAAAAAACTGTGATAATAGAATGCAAAAGGCAAAAAAAATTTTTAAGGAATAATACCCTTTAAAATCCAATATGGGTTTATATTTAAGTTTAATTTAGTCAACTCTCTTTGTCTGAGTTGCAAGGTATCAGGTCTGATGGTAAAAGCACACATGGGCGACTGGATTTTTCAAGTGTTGTTATGGAAATTGCAGATTAGGGATGAAACCGGGACGTAAACTGGCTCGGACGAATGTCCTCCGCACGTCCGCCAGCGAACGTCAAAAAGAGGACCAAATGCGGACGTAAGTGGACATCCTCAAAACGTCCGCCAGCGAACGTTGCACAGCGGACCTAAACGGACGTTCGGAACGTCCGGGGGACGTCCCCTGTTTGCTGGGATGGAAGGGAAAAGTATAGTTAAAGAAGCATGCAAGGAAAGTGGAATATTTGTATTACAGGAAGGCATCTTTATAATATACAAAACAGTATTAGAAAAAGTAAATGGCTATATAGTTTCAGTAGAGAAGATCAGGTTATTTTAGCAAGACTAAGAATGGGACATACTAAACTTAATTCGACTCTTTATATAATAGGTAAACATAGTACAGGATTATGTGAAACATGCCAAGTAAAGGACAGTAGAACGTGTTATTAATTTGTCCTAGGTATGAGCAGGAAAGGAATGAATTAATAAGAGAACAACATGGGATGCAAAGAATTTACAATCAGAAATGTATTAAATACAAATCAAGGATCAGGTAAAATAAAAACAACACAGAATCAGCGATCAGTGAAGATCAAACAGAAAGATTTTTCAGTTTGTTTCTGAACAGCAGATCTTTGTGATTCACTTTTGAAAGCATCGTTCAGAAAGTAAAAGTAGAGTATATATTGCTGGGGATCAAACAGTGAGAATGGATTTACTAACTGTAGAAGATCTTTCTTGTCCCGTGTGCTGTGAAATCTTCAAGTCTCCCGTTGTGTTATCATGTAGTCACAGTGTCTGTAAAGAGTGTCTCAAGCAGTTCTGGAAAACAAAGGAAACTCAGGAGTGCCCCGACTGTGGGAGAAGATCATCGAAACCTGACCCTCCTGCTAATCTCGCATTACAGAACTTGTGTGAGATGTTCCTGAAGGAGAGAAAAGAGAGGCGTTCATCAGGATCTGAGGAGATCTGCAGTTTACACAGTGAGAAGCACAAACTCTTCTGTCTGGAGGACAAACAGCCTGCGTGTGCGGAGTGCTTTACTTCACAAAAACACGTCGATCACACAGTAAGACCCATCAGTGAAGCTGTTCCATCATTTAAAGTAAGACAGATTTATATCGGAGGATAAAAACATATGGAAGAAATCTCTCAGTAACATTTTGCTCGTATTAGATGAACATATTACAGAAGTCTCTGGTGTCTCATAGATTTTCCCTTTAAATTCTAGGAGGAGCTGAATACAGCACTGAAAGCTTTACAGAAGAAACTTAAACACAGTGAAAACATTAAAGGAGAGTTGGAGAAAACACTTCAACACATTGGGGTGAGGAAACAGAATCCAGAGTCATTTTCATTACGATCACTGTGGACAGTTACGATTTGCTATATTTAATATAATAGATTCCAGTTGATTAGTTCTGTAAATAATGAGCAGCGATCTGTTTTATGTCGGTATCTCAGATATGAAAGATGTGATTGTGTTGATTTGTGTTGATTGAGACGGTGCTTGAAGTGACTGTGGTTTGATTTCAGTCTCAAACTGAGCACACAGAGCATCAGATTAAACAGCAGTTTGAGAAGCTTCATCAGTTTCTCAGAGTTGAAGAAGCAGCTACAATCACTGCACTGAGGGAGGAAGAGGAGCAGAAGAAGCAGATGATGAAGGAGAAGCTGGAGGAGATGAGCAGACACATCTCAGCACTTTCAAACACAATCAAAGACACGGAGGAGATGATGAAAGCCAATGATGCCTGCTTTCTAAAGGTCTGACTTGAGATCATCCATTGATTGATTGATGATTGATTGATTGATTGAGTTGTTGATGATCAATGGTGTGTTTGTTCTGCAGGAGTTTCCAGTCACGATGGAAAGGTGAGTGATCTGCTGCTCTCTCTGGTCTCTCTGCTTCTGATCCAAAGCTACTGCCGTTCTGACTCCCGAATGCTCTTCCAGAGTCCAGATCTCATCACAGCTGGATCCACAGATGACTTCTGGAGCTTTGATTCATGTGCCGCGTTATTTGGGCAACCTGCTGTTCAGAGTCTGGAAGAAGATGCAGGACATCGTCCAGAACAGTGAGTCTGCAGAAGATCTGAGCTCACACATTCAGTTTATCATGACACAAAAGCACTAGATTATTTCAGTTGTCAGTAAGTGAAGATTATACTACTTAATTAATATTACCCAATATTTTATGAGAATGCTTCATTTCTCTCTCTTTTTTTCCCATCTGCTCAAGTCCAGAACACACACAACAGTGTAAAGGTGAAAAGAAATGTGATTCTTCAGACTGACACATGGAAGCCTCTGGAGCACCTCAAATATAATATAGTGCTCAAGAAACGTCAATATGTATTTCAAGTTCCTCAAAGACTTTTCATTAATAAGGTTTTACTAGAGGAACTATTGACAGTCTCTAGAGTCCATGAAGAAAATTCTTAATTTTATAAGCTGAGGCCAGATTCACAACAATAAGAATAACATTTTGTTAC